GATATGATTCATCATGTTCACAATGACCACACTGACCACTGTCTGATCCCTGCTTCTATATGCACTCCCTGTCTTTCCACTATATCTCATCAATCTATTTGTTTATCCTGCCCAGCAACACATCAAGATTACAAAAGGATTACAGCTCTGACCGCCTTTTTTTTTTTTTTTTTGGTACTGGGGATTGAACCCAGGGGCACTTAATAACTGAGCCCCATCCTAAGCTCCTTTTTGCATTTTATTTAGAGACAGGGTCTTGCTAAATTGCTGAGGGCCTTACAAAGTTGCTGAGGCTGGCTTTGAACTCTTGATCTTCCTGTCTCAATCTCCTGAGCTGCTAAGATTATAGGCATAGTCCACCATGCCTGGCTGATAGCTATTTTCTTTTTCAAAATGTCTTGGTATTCTGTTCATGAACATTTGCCCTTCTAGATGAACTTCAGAATTGGCTTATCAAGTTCCAGTAGCATCTTGTTGGAACAGCTCTGAATTACCACAATAAAATTTTGAATTGGTTTTTTGTTTCTACTTAGTAACACTAATGGCCAGCTTGCTCAGTCTACAGCCTCCTTGCAGCCTGCTCACATCTGGCACTCAAGACACACTGACCCTCTGCAGGCCTATGCCTCTGCATGCGGGCTGCTCTCTTTTACTTGCTCTGCAAAGCATAGCTAATCTCAAGCTCAGCTCCTGTCACTTCTACCTGTAGAAAGCCTTCCTTGGCAGTCCTCCTCAGCAGTCTGGGTTGTTGCCCTTTTCACATGTGCATGGCAACCTACACTGATATCTGTTACAACATCCCAACATACTTTTTCACGAATCAAGGGTCCCCAATGCAGAGTATCTACATTCTGTGGGCATTCAACAAATGTTTTTGTTCAATCAATCAGGGCTTGATGAAACTCAAGTTCTGAAAGATCAGTATTTCCTGCCCTCCTCAGAGGTGTGCATACTCAGTGTGACAATGCAGTCCCAATGCTCTGCTAGAACAAGAAATGCAAGGAGATGGTGAGAAAGTACAGGACTGGTGCACTACTTTGTCTAAGAAATGACAAAACTTGGGGTTGCAATTTTTTCTGTATATACAAGCTTGACAAATTAATGTAAAACATCAGATGGATCATAATAGAACTTTGGAAGAGCCAGACCAACCTACCAACATAAATTCCATTAGGAAGTACAAGGTATATAAAGAATGATTAAATAAAAATTGTTAGGTGAGGTCCCTTTCCTGATTCCACCAGTTGTCTTGTACTATTAACAGTATATAATTTTTTTCTATACTCAAAAAGGTCCCAAACCTCTACACTTTCAAATTTTTAAGACTTTCCCACTTCTACATCTGTGTGGTTTAATTTTATGCCCAAATTCTGTTTACCTAATTGGACATGTAAGTTTCCTATCAACACAAAAGGAACTGCAGCAATCCACCTCCAACTGGAAGAGGCAGCAAATGGCCAGACACTTTTATGTGAGGAGATCAGGAAGCCCCTCTGGGCTTCTAGCAACATTTAAAAACTACGATAAAGGTGACCTGAACTCCATTAATTCCTTCCAGAGGATATTCTACCTTCTCTGACTTTCCAAAGAGCACTAAAACTTGAGAGAGAAAAGATTTCACATAAAGATCCACTTGGGAAAAACATAGCAATCGATAAACTAGGTTGCTTTTCTTCTCATTAGGAGTGGTATGCTGTTGAAATTCCTCAGCATTAGTCACTCACCCTGCCTGCCTGCCTTGCTCTTAGTTCTGCTGACTTGGCATTCATACTTTGTTTAATGTAACCTTAGAGTTAGAGGAACATACTTACGAAAGAAACTCTTGTCATTTTAATGCAGGAATGAGAACCTGCTTACAAAAATATCATGAAAATAATTTCAAAAAAAATTACAAGAGCTTTTATTTTAAGCAGTACCTAAAAAAAATTTTCACTGCAACTGGCTATGCTTCTGGAAAGTACTCATACAATTTCACCTGGATTTGAAGTCATTAAGTGACTTGTACCATGAAAAGGAAAGTTTATAGAATATTCAACTCTAGGGAGAACAGCTGAAATTCCAAAGTACCATGTGAGAAAGCTTTACTGCACTGTTTTACTTTTTCTTTTTACTACAGTATTTTAGAATGTAGTCACTTCCAAGATGGTACGTGCTTGCTTCACATCTCAAAGTTACACTAGTCCCAAGTCTCAGCTGCATTTACTGAATACCTCAATAGACAAGGCCCTACATGGAGTATGAGATGCATACCTCATCTTAAAATCCTGCCAAGTAGGAATCTCTTCACTGGGTGGATGAAGGGTTCAGAGAGTGAAAGTGACACAGAGGAAGTGCTTGGTCTCTGCATGCTCCTTCCATGCACACCGACATGCTGCTACAATCTCCATGATGAACCCACAATGCAATGGCAACCCAGCAATACCTACCACAGACCTCAAATAAGCTCTCCAGAATAGTGTTTGAGTCATAACTTAAAGGAAAGGGACCTTAGAGAGTAGAGGTCACAAGAGATTCAGACCTTTCCTAAGAGACATGAAGTACTAGTAGGGGGCATCACCAGTACTAGCTTCTAGGTCTTACCCACAGTTCAGAGCCTTTTCTCTCTGCTAAGCTAGTCACACAAAGGAAAGTTCAGATACTTTTCTTTACAGTGTCTTTTTGATTTAATGGAAAGGTGAGACTAATGAATTAATCAGCAAAAGATACAGATTATACAGTATGGTGAGCCACGAAGGCCACAGACTTAAGAAGCTGGGCAGCGAACTTTATCAGGGGGAAGATGTGCCAGCACCAACCCCCTGCACTGCCCACAAACAGTCTGCTTAGGACAGAAAGTGGGCATGGAAAAGAGGAGGGAAGGGCTGATCAGACAAGCTGCAAGGGCAGGAAAACAGAGTTTGTGCATCAGGAAGAGGCAGGGTGCTGAGGGAATGTCTCAAATCAATGAAAGGTGAACTGTGGGGAAGATTTACATGCTGACACCAGAGAGTGTGGGGACGAGAGATGGTGTAAAAAGGAATACTTTTGTTTAGATCAAGAATCAGTTTATTTTATCGACAAAAAGGGTTTATGTTCTCAAATCTTTATTTATTCATTTTTTGTGATGCTGTGATGCTGTGGTGCTGGGAACACAGGGCCTTGTCTTATGCACCCTAGGCAAGCCCTATACCAAAGAGTTATATCTCCAGCCATGTATGTGTATATGTATGTGAGTATATATGTGTGTGGAAATTATATATATATAATTTATATATATATATTAGTGTGTGTATATATATTAAAAGGACTATAAACTAGAAATGTTTTCTTGGATAAAGTTATTATGTTTAGAAAAAAAATCTGTTTTATAATTCTTCATTTTCTTCTTTTTTTGTGATGCTGGGGATGGAACCCAGTGACTTATACATGCCAGACAAGTGCTCTTCAGTCCTGAAAAAGTTTATTAGAGAATATCATTTTTGCACCAAAATTTTATGGAATTAATCCTTGATGATGCTCTACCTTTTATGTAAGAGGTACCAGGAACATCCTGCACCAATAGCATCTGAGGAGAAGGAACCTGATGCAAAATAGTCAAGAAAGTGCATCCAAGTGAGGTTCAGGGAAAGGCTATTACATTTCTTGTTCAGTTTTTCACACTAAACACCTTAACTCACTAACCTATTTAGATCTGACTGCAGATCTTGGTTAAGATTATCCTGAAGATGGCATTTCAGTGTAGAAAGTAATTTGCATGTTTGATTTAAATGTTTACAGCTAAACAGATGGGACTATGATCAATGAACATACTTTTTCTTTATTGTCTTGCTTTTTGGTGACAATCATAGGTCTACCTCCCCCCTACCAGATGCTTAGCAGATAAAAGTCAAGGCTATTTGAAGAGATATGGCAGAGTTATCTTAAAATGTTCATTTCAAACATACCACAAAGTCACAGTTTTGAAAAACACTGCTAAATACTTTTAGGTTATGTTGGCATTATTCCCTATTAGAAAAGGTAGCACGTGAAAGAAAACAAGTATTAATATGACCTGTGACATATTTTTTTTAAACCCCAATCTTGAAAGCTTATTTGATTATCTAATTACAGACCTGAATTTCACAACTATAAGCAAGTGTGTTATTTACTATAGAAGGGACATCAACTAGCATTTAAATTACTTTTTTAAAAAAGTTAAGAAAATAAAAGAGAAATATGGCAGCTGAACTTAAATACTTTGCTCTCTCGCCAAAATTCCCTAAAACTACAATAAAGAAATTTCTCAAAAGTACAAATCATAAAATGCAGAAGACTGGAGAAGGAGCAGACAGGAGCTGAGACAAGGAACAGGTACATCTCAGCAGCAGGAAAGCAAAGGGACACATGGCAGTTTTTCCTGGGAGTCAAGAAAAAGCTGCCAGACAACGTGGGCAAGGAAGCAGCATGACATAGTTGGAGCAGAACCCCGGGCCGCAGGACTCAGGCATGTGCACACTCAGAGACAGCCTCGCAAAGGGAAAGGTTTTCAGTGCATAGATTTTCAGCATTGCCTTGGTAGGGTCACATGGTCCTTTAGTTTCCAGTGAGAGAGCAGTTGAGCCAAAGAAGTTAATGATATCTTCAGATACAAGGAAATACCAGGATAAAGAGAAGTAAATACAAACTTTCAAATCTGATATCAATCAGTCTATCTCTATTACTAAGTATATAGTGAACATACACCAACATACACCAAAATATGTCTATTTTTATTTCTCAGAGCAGAGTTCTCATATAAAAAGTCTCAGGCTTGGGGCTGGAGTTGTAGCAGGGTGATACAGCACTTACCCAATGTGTGTGGGCACCGGGTTTGATCCTCAGCACCATGTAAAAATAAATAAAGGTATTTAAAAAAAAAAGAAAGTAGCAGCCTCAGGCTGAGGGTGTGGCTCAATGGTGGAGTATGTATCTAGCGCACGCAAGGCCCTGGGTTCAATCCTTAGTCTGCAAAAACAAAAAACTCATACTCCTTTGCTTTTTACCTGGTTGGAGCTTGTTGGGATGCTGCTGCGACCCGGCTCCAGGGAGAGGGGGAGGGCTTGTCCCTGCAGAACCAGCAACCTGTGCTGGGCTCACACTGGTCAGAGTCCCTGTAGGTAACGGCTGGCCTCTCTTTAACAGCTGCTTCTGTTCTTGCTGGCGGAAGCGTGGAGGCACCTCTCGAGGCAGGTAACGGGATGCAGCTGGCTGCTGGCCACCGGCAGATGCACGTTTGCCATTGCTGCTGCTGGAGATAGTGCTGGTGGAAGTACTGGTACTGGTACCGGCAGGTTGGAGCTGGCTTGAACAGGTCTTAGTAGGTTCTGGCACTAAAAAGAACAAAAGGAAAAAGAACCCAAAGCTTTAATAGTATCTTCTTAAAATATAACCCAAACCAAGGAAAACAAACAAAAAATACCAGAGGAAAAAAATGACAATGCAGTGCTTTGGAAACAGAACTGGACTAAAGCCTGCAGTTGCAGTTTTGAACCCAGTTTTCCTACAAATGAACGGTCATCTTGAGATCTCGGGCTAGCTGCTCTGGGCCTTAGTGTCCCCATCTGTAAAAGGAGGGTAACAGATTAAACACAATTCTCACACTTGCTTTCAACAGAATCACCTCTAGAGGGTGTTAAAGCCCAGCAGCTTGTCTCCTACCCCTACCCACATCACAGACCTTCTGATGCAGTAGGCTGGAGGAGAGGGAGAAACTGGGCACCTGAGCTTCTGGCAAGTTCTTAGGTGATGCTGCTGCTGGCCCGTAGATGACCCTTCAAGAACCACTGCTAGTTCAATGTGTATACAAATCACAGGATCCTCAAGGTGTCCTTGAACTTATTTTTGTTTTAATTCTAATAATAATGAATAAGTTATTGTGCATTCTAAGCTATATGAACAATTAGAGCTGAATAGCATTGGATTTCAGCGTCAGCATTCGTGGGAATACCATCTACAGCATTGCCAGATTCACTGGAAAAGGAGAAAGGTGGCTACTGTGCAATAATCACAAGCATGCCCAAGGCAAAGGTGGATGGTGTAGTGGTTAATGACCTGCATGCCCATGCCAGGCACAAAAGAACCTAAGCCCCAACAGTTGGGCCCGCCTTCCTCCTGAATGTCCGACACTACTATTCAGGACATCACATTTTTCATGTTACTGTCTTTGGTTCTTTTTTAAAAACAGACCTGGGGTCTGTTTTTAAAAAAACTCAGAGGCACTCTATTACTGATCTACACACCCAGCCATTTATTTTAAATTTCAGACAAAGTCTTGCGGAGTTGCTTAGGCTGGCTGCAAACTTGTGATCTTTCTGCTTCAGGCATGAGCTACTGCACCCTCTAAAACATCCTTGGTTGTGTGGCTGAGCAAAATAAAATCTCATGTACGAAATGAGTTTATACATAGTTCAGTGTATATCTTTAATGAACAAGTAACATAAAAATATTTAAGTCCACAGTGGGGGGTCCTGAAATGTTACTGTTTTTCTTTATATTACCAGCTCTGGTTAGTCTGCAGTTTTTGTCTCACAATGTGAACTCCATGCTCCACCAGATGACTGCTACACTGCCTCTCAGTGTTCTTGAGGCCTTTGCCCGCCTTTCTGTCACTACTGCCTGGCAAGTCCTTCCTCCTGAAAGAAGTCACTGTCTGCTACTCTATGTTGATTCAGATCTCTCCAAGAAAGCTCAGCCACCAGGCAGTTCAGTGCTGCTCTGAAAGCATGGTCCCTGCCTTTTGTGCTTCCCCCCAATCCTGTATGCTCCTGGGTGAACAATTCATTCAAAACCTTCCAGTCAAGCCGCTCATGCATTTACCCACCCCTCTGCCCAGCCTCTTCCCAGGCCCCACGATAAACCTGACTTTACACTGTAGAAGCCAGATAGCTATCCAGCAAAGACCTCCTTAAGTGCTGCCACCACGGTACATCAGTCCACGTGTCAACTGCCCCTTCAACTTGGAAGCTGAAGCACTTCCTCCTTCACTCACATCACTTATGCTGGGATGTGCCCTGCAATCCGTGAGGTGTCAGTTCACTGGCAGCATTTTTCTTCTTTCTTAGTGGTATATGGGATACCAGTACATCTCGTAACCAGTTAGGATCAAGGAGGCAACATGTGCTCCAGAATCCAACTCATAGCTACCTCCAGAGCAGACACAGAGAGCCAAAGCACAAGAGTGGGTCTTGGATTTACTCCTTCATAAGTTTGTTTATTTTTTCCTAGTCAGAGCTTTAATATGACGAAGATGTCACTATGTGTACAAAAAAATCCTGTCACCTGTGAGTGTGTGGGAGGGTGGAGAAAAGCACACTTCTTACCACTCACTGGCAGGGGGCTGTCTGGCGACTGCAGCTGGCTCCTTCTCATCAGCACTACAACATGCTCAAATCTAATCCCTCCAATGGCAACAACCACCACTCTTCTTAGCTCCCAATTCCCCTCCAGTGACTTCTCAATTTTTCTGTCTCCTACCATCAACCTTCCTGGAGTGTGAGAGTGTGGCCTCTTCCTGATTCCTCACTTGCTATTCTCCCTTCATCCATCTCCTCATGGAAACCTTATCATGCAGGACCAAATTATTTCTAATGCCTAATCCAGTGCTGTTCTGATCAACATCATCCTTTCTGACCTCTGTCTCTGGGAGACTCCTGTGCTCAGCAGCTCTCTCCTGCTCCCTTAGCAGACTTCCTTCTTGCCTGTGCTTGAGATTTTGATGCAGACACCTTATTCTTTTAATCATTAATTTTTTAAAATTTGTTCTTTTTAGCTATACTTGACAGTAGAGTGTATTTTGACATATTATACCCACATGGAGTATAACATTCTAACAAGGATCCCATTCTTGTGGCTGAACACCATGTGGAGTTTCACTGGTCATATGTTCATATACAAACATAGGAAAGCTGTGTCTGATTCATTCTACTGTCTTTCCTAATCCTGTCCCCACTCTCTTCCCATCATTTCCCTTTGTCTAATCAAATGAACTTCTATTCTTCTCTCTCTCCTACTTATCATAGTTAGCATGTGCATATCAGAAAGAGCATTCTGCCCATTTTTTTTGGGGGGGGGATTGGCTTATTTCACTTAGCATGATAATCTCCAGTTCCTTCTATTTCCTGGCAAAAGTCATAAAGTCATTCTTTTTTATGGTTAAATAATATTCTATTGTGTAGATATACCACATTTTCTTTATTTGCTCATCTGTTGAAGGACACCTGGGTTGGTTCCACAGCTTAGCTATTGTGAACTGAGCTGCTATAAACATTGAGGTGGCTTCTTGTAGGCACTCTTTATACTGACACACTCATCCTGGTCATTTCACCTATTCCCATGGCTTTATTAGTGATCTTATGACTGTGCTTGGAGCCCCAGATGGTGACCAGAGACCTGCATCTGCATTTCTTACAGGCATCTCAAAATCAAGATGTCCCCAACATTATGCAGCTTTCTCTCCTTGCCCTTCTGAGTCTTTCAATGTCTCCTAGAGATTTGCTACAAAATTCAAAGTAAGCAGTAGAATAAGAGGAGGAGGAAGGCGGGAATAAGGAAGAGAACTACTATGATGCTGCAGAAAGTTCCATGCACCCAGTCTCTCTTTTATAAAAGCAACTGACACTGGTTGGCTAGTCACTACCATCATTAAGGTCTGTCCACTTGTTAATTTACTTGTTAAAAGATTAGAAAAGGGGCTGGGGATGTGGCTCAAGCGGTAACGCGCTCGCCTGGCATGCACGGGGCACTGGGTTCGATCCTCAGCACCAAAAAAAAAAAAAAAAAAAAAAGATGTTGTGTCCACCAAAAACTAAATATATATATATAAATTCTCTCTCTCTCTCAAAAAAAAAAAAAAAAGATTAGAAGAAAACATCATCTTCTGAGAAGTGTCTCTTCAGGTCCTTGGCCCATTTATTGAACCAACCCAGAAAACTGGCAAGGACTCCAAAGCAAAGAATTCATGCTAATAGGAACTTCAGAATTGTCTCACCTCTCCATTACCTGTACCCAAGAACAGAGGGGACCGAGTCAAAGGAACACAGCTGACATGTCAGGACCAGATGTCACTGCTCTGACCACAGCCCAGAGCTCTCCCAGGACACTGCTGCTATCTTTTTGTCAGCAGTTCTAGGGATTGAACCAAGGCCTCACATGTTAGGCAAGAGCCCTATAACTGAGCTACATCCCCAGCCTGCTGCTATTTTTAAAAAAAGATCAAAGGGCAAATTCGGAGCTATTTTCCATCAAATCTATTAGAAGAAAAAAAAAATTCATGCTGTAGTAATGAAGGAGTAAACGATCATCAGCCAGTCACTTTTTTCAAACTAAACCACCAGATTCTAAAATGTTTGTGTGTGGAATGTTTGGCTCAACTGTTACTTGTTCTATTATGCCGAGGCCTCGTTTAAAAAAAATTACTATTTATTCATCTAATGAAGGGCATCTAGGTTGGTTCCACAGTTTAGCTATTGTGAATTGTGCTGCAGTGAACTTTGATGTGGCTGTGTCCTAGTATGCTGTTTTTAAGTCCTTTGGGTATAGACCGGGGAGAGGGATAGCTGGATCAAATGGTGGTTCCATTCTCAATTTTCCAAGAAATCGCCATACTGCTTTCCATATTGACTGCACCAATTTTCAGTTCCACCAGCAGTGTATGAGTGTGCCTTTCCCCCCACATCCTCATCAACACTGACTGCTGTTTATATGCAATAATAGCTGCCATTCTGACTGGAGTGAGTGTAGTTTTGATTTGCATTCTCTAATTGCTAGTGATGATGAACATTTTTTCATGCATTAGTTGATTGATTGTACATCATCTTCTGAGAAGTGTCTCTTCAGGTCCTTGGCCCATTTATTGAACCAATCCAGAAGCCCTCCAGAAGCCCTTCAGCAGATGAATGGATAAAAAAAAAATGTGCCATATATCATAATGGAATACTACTCAGCAGTAAAAGAGAATAAAATCATGGCATTTGAAAGTAATGGATGAAGTTAGAGAAGATAATGCTAAGTGAAGTTAGCCAGTCCCAAAAAACCAAATGCCAAATGTTTTCTTTGATCTAAGGAGGCCGATTCAGAGTGGGATAGGGAGCGGGAGCATGGGAGGAATAGACAAACTCTAGATAGGGCAGATGGGTGAGAGGGGAAGGAAGGGAACATGGGGTTATCAATGATGTGGAATGTGATGATCATTATTATCCAAAGTACAGGTATGAAGACACGAATTGGTGGGAATATATTATGTATACAACCAGAGATATGAAAAATTGTGCTCTAATGGGTAATAAGAATTGCAATGTATTCTGCTGTCACATATAAATTTAAATTTTAATTT